GTCCTATAAGGTCACTGTAAGTCGGACTTGACTGGTCAGCAATGGGTTTTTTGGAGTTGGGTGCTCACTCTGAGATATTGCCCTTCTGCTCTGCCTAGGACTCCCACATTTCATCCCAGCCCTGGTACTAGAATCTACTGTAGTGCTCGGGGTTGGTGGAGGGTGAGACTGAGACCAAGCTCACATTTTGATTTGGGGCTTTCCCTAGAACCAGCCCTAAGGTGATGATGGAGCTGGAGAGTCCTCGATCTACTGGGAATGGGGTGGAGGACACTCACTTGTACCAGTCAAGAGAGATGGGGGCTGCCTCCCGTCCTCCTTCACTGATGCTACAGCGGTCCTCTGTGACTCTCCACTCTCTCGCTTTTTTGAAAGTTGCTCTTTTGTTTGAGCTCATGTAGTTTCCCTTGGTTCATCTGGGGTCCAAGTCCTCTAGGAATGACTCATTTATAACTCCCCTTTCTCTCTATTTTCTTGGTTCTAGATTTATCTTAACTGCTTCAGAGAGCTCCCAGATCCCTGATTTTCCCGAATCTTTCCCACCATCTAAACTCACTTACTCTCTTCTTTGCCTTTAGTCCTGGCTCTCAGCTAAGTTTTAACTACCCACATGAGATACATATTTGGGCTAAAATGTTTTGTTAATAGCTACTAATTGGGTTCTATGGATCTCAGATAACTTGGCATATCACAAAACACCCTTGGAGAGCATTTGAGGAAATGGTGGAAATTTTTGACCAAGAGGCAGGTCATTGTGAAACGTATTTTGTGAAGTGGAACTGAGTCTAGGCTCTTAGCAAGAGAATAACATGCCTAAATTTTAGTAACAGTCTGTGATTATAACATGTCTGTCTTTGCCTAAATTGTAGGACCGTTATTTTCTTTGTTACGTCATTTTCTCACGTGAATGATTAATTTATTTGGGGATTAAAATTTTATTTTAACATTCCTAAAATAAAAAAGTCAGTGCAGGATTCTGCAGGATATATATTTCTCCCAAAATATAATTTAAGCAGTTTAACTTCATTATTATACTGAAGGAAACACAAGCCATACTTACACTTTAAATATGAATTTCTGTTTTTAGTTACGAAGTGTTTATTATATCTATAATGTTATAACATATTACATATGGTTATATATACTACAATAATGGTAATATTACTACATATACTGGAGCCCTGGTGGCGCAGTGATTAAGTGCTTGGCTGCTAACCAAAAAGTCGGCAGTTTGAATCTACCAGCCGCTCCTTGGAAATCCTATGGGGCAGTTCTACTCTGTGCTTTACGGTCGCTATGAGTTGGAACAGGTTTGATTACATATAATATTTTATATAATCATATAAGCTTACATTTGTATATAATCTTTTTAATTTTCAAAGAATTTTCACATACAATCTTGTTATATCTTTATGAGACCTACAGGATAGATAATATTATAAATATGTTAATTTTACAAATGAGGAAGCAGTTTCAGAGAGGTAAAGAGATTTTCTCTGGGTAACACAGCTACTAAGTATGAGACCATGAGTTGGTTCCACACTTCTGATCTCAAAATCTCATCCTATTTCCATTATAGCCTCTTCCCTCTTCTAGCATATAGTGTAACCACATTCAATAGCTTCCAGATCAATAGTTAGATATGGAAAATATTAGCTAGGTGCATCTAGACTAACATTATAAAATGTAGTAATAAGATTTTATACCAACTTCTAGAACTGCTTTCAGTTATATGGGAGGTCACTGGCTGGCACAAACGGTTTGCACTTGACTGCTAACCTAAAGATTGGTGGTTCGAACCCACCTAGTGGCACCCTGAAAGAAAGGCTTGGCGATCTGCTTCCATAAAGATTACAGCCAAGAAAACCCTATGGAGCGGTTCTCCTCTGTAACCCATGGGGTCGGCATTAGTCAGAATCAATTTGACAGTAACTGAGTTTCACGTATATACATTTTTTTTTCCAAATTCTCTACTGAACATAAAAGGTTAAGTCATTTAAAACTGAGTACATTTAGTTTAGATACTATAGTAGACAAGAGAAGCTTCGTTAAGCTAAAACGTCTCTTTCTATACGCACACACGCACACACAGGGAGAGAGAAAAACGTTCATTTGAAAGCTTTTTTTATTTTTAACTGATACTCTGATTTTACATGAATTGTTTAAAATATATTTCGAAAAATATATAATGTATTTCAGATATATTATCTTATGTCTGAGCTGAATGTTTGAAGAGATAGTATAACATACAAAAACAAAAAAAAAACCCAGACCCATTGCCATCAAATCGATTCTGAGACTGTAATCTTTAGGAAGGCAGACTGCCACATCTTTCTCCCGTGGAGCAGCTGGTGGGTTCAAACCGCTGACTTTTCAGTTAGCAGGCAAGGCTTTAACCACTGTGCTACCAGGGCTGCTTTTAGTATAACCAGGGCTTCAAACTGGTTCGTTCTGGTTTGAACCACTGCTGAGAATTTGCATTTCCACCCGAGATATACTGAATCAGAATCTACAGTTTAACAAGATTCCCAGGTGAATTTTATATATAATAAATGTTAAGAACCACTGCTCTACTAGGGGTCCTCAGAACTGGTCCCTAACCAGCAGCCTTAGCATTGCCTGGGAACTCGTTAGAAATGCAAAATCTTAGCTGGGGTACGAACCAGAACAAACAGGTTCGAAGCCCTGAGTATACCACAGAAGTTGGTAATTTATCTTCTATAGAATGTGTAAGAAATATTGAGATACTTAAAGACAGAATAAGAAATGAAAATTTGGCCATAAAAAGAATTGCCTTGTAGGGAGGGTTGATAGCGACTTATATCTCACCATAAGAGGTTGAGAAATTTCGTTCTCTGGGATAGTATTTGATGTGGTTCACGTCTAACCCTATCTGCTCCCAGCTACGTGAACTTAGTCTGATGTAAACCTGTAATATTTTGAGATCGTAACACATCTTTTCCAGGTTTATTTAAATAATACCTGTTATTTAGAAATGAGGAGGGAAGAAGCAAGATATATCTTTCCTTCTCTCACAAAAATTATCAAAGGAGAAGTATTTTATTATTTTTTAAACTTCAGTGAACACTGTCCTAGCAGAACTGAACTAGTAGCAGAGGAGGTGCCGTGGGTGGAAACAGGAAACATTGGTGAAAACGCTCTGGTACATTTTTTTTCAGGTGCAGCTCCATGTATATTGATTCTAATTAGCACATTTTGTGCCTCAGCTAGTAGCTCCCCTTTAGCTCTGCTTGGAGAGTTTTTTTTAGATTCCATCCTGCTCAGAAACACTGGCACCTCCTCCCTCCTTCTCTCTTTACAAATGTTCAAACACAATCAGAAATTTCCTCTTTTCTTTCCTTCCTGCATCCTCAGCAGGTCCCCTTGCGTCAGAAGCAGAGGAAGAAAACTCAAGGTAATTAGATCTCTTTTGTTTCTTTATCCTCTTTCGGAGTGTGTGAGTGTGTGTGTGTGTGTGTGTGTGTGTATGTGTGTGGTTTTGCTCTTGGATGTCTTCTTTGGGATCAGATTTTTGTCTGCCCTAATGCTAATATCCGAGGGTGGATGGCAGGTTAATTTTTGGTTATTTTTTTGGGACTGATTTTAAGAAATGACAACATGCTGTTCACTTGGATTAATCCCTCATGGTATGTTAGTAAGCCTTAGAAATACTGGCACCCAGTCGGGAAGTAGCTGTGTTTGTAGGTGGGCATTAACCCTTCAACATCTATTGCATAACTGCAGCTATTATTGTTTCAAGGAGCTGTAGTGCAGTGCTGTGCCTGCCAGCGAGAACGATTTTAATCTTCTCAACTTATGCTTGTTGAATAATATCCTTAGAATAACACTGGCACCATTTCTTTGCCACATCTCATACTTTCTAAGCTCCAGAACAATGTTTAAAAATCAACCAGATAAAGGACTTTCTTTTTGCATTTACTCTGCACACATCGCCTATGTGAAAAATCTACCTGGAGGTAAACAATTAATTGGTACCTTTTATGCCCTCACATCACTGAGAGTAATACCTTACCTATGTCTTCACGTAATTGCTGCAGGCTTTTTCACTATGAGTCGGAGGAGGGTATCATGTAAAGATCTGGGACATGCTGACTGCCAAGGATGGCTGTATAAGAAAAAGGAAAAGGGAACTTTCCTCAGCAACAAATGGAAAAAGTTCTGGGTGGTGCTGAAGGAGTCGTCCCTGTACTGGTACAGCAATCAAATGGTGAGTCCTCCTTCTTCCTCCTGCTCTCAGCCTCTTTAACAAAGGGTGGGGTGAAGATCAGGGATCGGATGGTCCCTAAAACCCATTAAACCAAACCAGTTGTGGTCGAGTCAATTCCAACTCATAGTGACCTGCAGGACAGAGTAGAACTGCCCCAGAGTTTCCAAGCGCCTGGTGGATTCAAACTGCCAACCTTTTGGTTAGCAGCCATAGCACTTAACCACTATGCCACTAGGGTTTCCGGATGGTCCCTATGGAAAGTTAATTTTGATTTCCGGTATTTGCAACAGAGTAGATAAGTAAATAAACTATTAAAGCCATTTCTGGTCCAATAGCTATGTAGGTTATTCTATTATATTTTTACGCAGGTGAAAACCATCCTGCTTGAACAATCTTTGGTTGGGGAGGGGGAGTGAGTGTCTAAATTTATATCCTTGCTAAAGGAGGCCTTTAGGTTCTATTAATGTTACTATTCCATGGGAGATTCTAATAGTTTCAGGATTTATGTGGACAACGTTTAATGGGGAACCTCACAGTGTTTAGCCTTTACCTGAAAACGGACTCAGCTTTACAACTTAGTAAGGGTGTAAATGGATTCCGTTCAGAGAAGCAATTTCCATTTCTCCTCTTTTACTGTAAGTTCTTCTTCTTCCCCTCCTTTACCTCTGACCTTCTTTATTAGGTTGGTTTTAGAATCGCTAACCTGTGTACCTTCTTTACGCTGGTGACTGAGGTCTCTTGTTCCTTGTCTTGTTCAGTGACGGCATTGAACTACTTGCTGATGCTTTGGTAACACTTGAAAAGATGCCTGCCTGGTTTATCCTTTAATAGCTAGTACATTGGTGAGGTCTGCTGCACAGACTTGTTGTCCACTGAAAGGGGTTAGAATTAAAGTTATTATTGGGGTGGGCTGATCTTTTCACGACTTGAAATATTTTGAAAACTACGTTATTGATTATTGATGAGAAGAGACTTTTCCACATAGGAACTCTCCCCACTAGCCCCAGAGTAGTCAATTGCTGATCTTAGAAGAGCTTGAGTTTCTCTTTGCAGTATAAGTGAAGATCAGCAACTGACGTCCTTTAATCAATTAGGGAAAATGACTTAGGAATTGCCCAGAAGCCAGAAAAACTCTTTTTATGTGATACCATTCTTTTAAAATGGCTTTGTGCGTATCCATCACCCAAGCAACAGAGCTGTAGAGCCTGTAACTTTATACATTTTCTATATACATGTAAAATAAGTGCTGCATATTGTTTGTAGGCAAAATCTCTAGCTAATAACATTGATATTCTCAGGCCACTAATCAACAATTGTGTTATCTAGATTCCATTAGGCATCTGTCCTTTAAGGATTTGGTTAAACTGGTCCCAGCTCCAATTCCAGTGCCCTCCAATAAGCACACTTCCTGTGCTTCTTTCTGCTCCCGCTCTGTTGGCAAGCGTATTGCTTTTGCTTTCACTCCAGTACAAAGCACCTCATGAATTTCCATAAAAATGCACTTCTCTTCAAGCACTTGGTGAGTTCTAACAACTCTGTCAAAGATTTGGAGGGTTCACAAGAAAGAGCCACCTTGCACAGTGCACAGTCTTCTGCTATCTCAAGGACCACTCTCCTTTTTCTCTCTTTTCCTCCCCCCACCTGGATATATTCATCATCTTGCCCAGCTCTGAACTGTTGCACCCAAATCCAGGCACCCTGTGGAGGGATCTCACCTTCTGTTCTAAGGGATTTTTCATAAACAGATGCAGTCTCCTTCTTATGAGGAATGAGGGTTAATGGAAATTTCTCCCTCTTGTTTCAGACTATTTTAAGCTCTTGCTCTTGGATAGCTATGACAAGTGGTACTTGTCTGCATCTCTTATGAAAGAAGGGGACTTACTGGTTTATCTTTTAATAGTTTTTGGGGAATTTCCAGAGGCTGTCGGAAGGACTGGGTACTGACGGAGCGTGGGGCAGTTGTGGGGAGCAGTAAAGCTCAGATACAAGCAGGGCATTTGTCCTTTCCTTCCATCAAGTTATTTGGCAAATATGTTCTGGCTGCTGCCTCTGTCTTCCTAGAATTTAAAGAAAGTCCCTCTGAACCACTTGTGCTTATAGATTTGGCTCGTTTGGGTCCCCAGGCTCATTTGGCTTATGCTTCTCGTAGAGGAAGCGATGCACTGCCTATTTTAGGTTCTGGAACATCATGTTTCCACAAAGAGCAGCAGTGTTGACTGAGACTAGACTAGAGAGATGAAAGGAGAGAAGGCCAGACACACTCGAGCGCCCTGTCCTGACGGACTTCCACGCAAATGGATCAAGCAGTACTCAGAGTGCGAATCATGGACTTGCACACAGTCATATAAACAACGTGGAATGGAGAATGAGCTTTCTGTTATCTGCCCAGGGAATTCCAGAATTAATGGAACAGTATGCTGCAGAAGGACCCATCCAACCACCTAATCTGATGGCTTGGCATTATACGGGAACTCTCACTCTCTCTCTGTCTGTCTCTGTCTCTCTATCACACGCTCTCGTATGCACACACACAGACATCTTAATTACATTTTTGTTGTAGGAAAATAAAGGCTACTCAGTAAATACTTAATTAGCAGTCATATTCCTGCTATCTCTGTGAATGTCAACTGTGAAATAAGAGCCAAGTGCACAGTCTTAAGATAGGAACTTTTATTTACTTTCTGCTACTTCAAGAATTCAGGTTCAACAAAGTTGCTCCCGAGGCACCTCTGCCTAATGATCAGAGAATCAGAGAGCTTCTGATTCTTCCTTCCTTTTTCCTCAGTCTGGCTGGAGGACAAGCCCTGTCGTTTACACTTTGTATATGGCCTGATGCTGAGAGGTAATGGCCCCGATACATCATAGGAAGAGCTACTTCTTATGGAGTATCTACTATATGCCAAGGGGAGTCCTTAGTGGTACAAACAGATACTAACTGAGAGGATGGCCTGGTGATCTGCTTCTGAAAGGTCATGATTATGAATACCCTATGGAGTGCAATTCTACTGTTACACACATGGGGTTGCCATGAGTCACAATCGATTCAATGGCAACTGGTTGCTTTTTTTTTTTTAAATGCCAAGGGGTATTCTATGACCTTTCATATATGCTCTCATTTTTCCTCACAAAGATCCTCTGAGGTAATAACTGTCACCAACAAACTCAGAAAGATTGTGCAAATTGCCTCAAGTGACACAAGTAGTAAGTACAAGAAAACAGATTTCACTGGGGCCTGTAGACTCCAAAGCCCACGCTTGTTGCAACACTCCGACCTGACTCCATCTGAGGAGGAGGATAAACCACAAGATTAAGGTCACCCTACTTTCTGCCTTCAAAGGGGTTCAGAGAGAACAGCTGTAGAAGTTCTAGGGCAGTTCTGTGAAATTACAAGTGGTCTCATTGGATCCCTTTCTTGTCGCTCTTGCTCACTACCGTTGCTAGAGGAGACCACACCACCCTCGCCTCTCTCCTGGATTTTTTTTCTTACCTGGTAGTTGATGCATGGTGTACTTCCTTTATTCATGAGACTTTGCTGCATCAAACAGTACTACCTAGACTTCCTGAGAAAGGTCAAGTCCAGACCCACTGGCCACTCTCCATACTTCACTTTATGTGCCTGGAATGCAACTCAACGTTCCAAGTGGCTACAGCCCACAGAGTCCATGCTAAGCCTGACAAAACTATATTCCCGTTGTAACAGGTATACAAATCCAGGCTGTTTAAAATCTTGGGTTTCCCTTGCCCTTAAAATAAAGTTCATATTCATTTCCTAGCTCAGGAGACTCTCCTGAGCTGTACCTAACGTTCTTCCCCGCTCCCCGACCCCAAGTTTAAACTACTGAATATTTAAAAATTCTCAGTTACCATCACGTACCTTGTACTCCCTTTGAGCCTTTGCATATGCTGTCTCTCTGTTCAGAAAACTCTCTCCTTTGCCCTGAAGTTTCCCCCTCACCCACTTCCATCGAGCATATTCCTACTCATAAGTAACCTCTTCCAGGTGGACTTCCTTGTCCCCTGACCTAAATCAGCCCCGCTCTGTCTGCTCCCATAACAACCTATATTTTCCTTATCATCATGCTCATCCTCCTACTGTGTATGTGTTAGACTTGCCACTTCCCATTACTGACGATGATTTCTATAGGGCAGAACCACAAGTGTGTCTTCAGCATCTTGCTCAGTGTCTGACACATAATGGGCCCTCTATTAATATTTGTTGATTTCATAAATAAATGAGATTTAGGAATCATCAGCATTTAGATGGCCCATGGGAAATTTGAACAATTGGGAATGTGAATAAGGACAGGTTTTGACGTAAAATAAGTTTCTAGTAAAGGAATTTCCACCTCTGTTCTGAAAAAAAGATACAAGATAAGGTGGTATTTGACATTTGCTAGAAAGGCTCCGTGGTCCCAAATAGGAACCTCACAGTTGCTCCCACCTTACTAGGGACTATATTATTAGATTTTTTCTAACCATGGCCTCTAGCTGAAGGCAAGGGCCTACTGATTGAGATTTCCAGGCAGGAAGCAGAGATGTTGAAAGAGAGATGGGAGATTTCTGAAGGGCAATCCCTTCTACTCTAGGATTTCATGTGGATACCAGGCACAGCTGGAGACCGAAGTTTGGGATCAATAACTTCTCGCTGGTGAAGGAAGCACAAAGTCTTGGATTATATTTTGCCTTTGGTCATGGTGAATCATGAAAGGGCCATGTTTGAGAGAGTTTCCTAAAATTAGATCCATGGTTTTTGGAACATAAATCTATGGTTACATACATTATTGGATCACATACTGTATTGAAAATCAGTGCAATCTGTAGTCACATTGACATGTTTTACATAAACCCTGAGGGCCTTGTTTACTATAAGAGACTAGAAAAAGGCCAGTATGGTTCTTTCAAATGCATGGACTATACAGCCTAAAGCCAAAGGGTAAAAGATAGAAATTGTTCTCTTCTATTGGAGAAGAGATGGAAGGAAAAATTTATAATCTCTCATT